TTCACTTAGTTTTGCGGTGAAGGAACCTAGCCCGCACAGCCCCGGTTTTTCAAACACATAAATTTATGCTTTCTAAGTATTACTGTTTTAAAAAGTTTTTCCCGAGCAAGTGATACCAGAAGACAAGACACTGCCCAATCACAACTTATCGCCTAACCCGCAGATACTCCTCGCTGTAGTGTGACGATGAGAGTTGTGATGAGCGAGACGGCGCGTCGGATGGGTGGCCTATCCCATAGGCTGCCAGGCACTGCAGAGCCTCGCAGCAAGTCCGATGCGAGGCTATGCTCTACAGTGTCAGGATGAGTCACACCGAGTAGATGGTGGGTCGCATTTCGACGAGTCCTGTCGGAGGTCGTCTAATCTGGGTGCCTGCTGCGGCTGCTGCTGCTGCTGCTTTGTTTCCTTGGTGTGCCTCCACTTCATGCGCCGATTTTGAAACCAAACCTTGACCTGGAAAATTAGATAAATTTAAGTGCATTGTGTGGATGTGGCCACCGGTTTGGACGTCTTTGTCCTCATCTGTCTCACCGTCTCACCTGAGCGTCGGTGAGGCCCAGAGTGGCAGCCAGCTGCCGTCGGTCGGGCTTGGTGATGTACTTCTGCAGTTGGAAGCGCTTCTCGAGGCCCTTCCGCTGCAGGTTGGAGAACACGGCCCTGGACCAGGACCGTTTCCGCTTGCCGGGCGCGCCGGGGGGGCCGGCCTGGCCGAGTCCCTCGAGGCCCTGCGCCCGCAGAGGGTCCCCCCTCGGGGGGCTACTGGGGGCCGACCTAGGGTCCGCGGCTGCAACAGTGAAAGACCGAATGTCACCAAGCTTGAAATGAAAACGGGTGCGACAATAAAGGCCAATAAGCTACCGTCCGGCGGTCGGGAAGGGAAGGCTCTGCGGTGCGCCAACGACGCCACGCGCGCACTGACTGGTAAGAAGAGGGGAAGGGGGGAGCAGCAGCAGCCGCAGCAGCCGCAGCCGCCCGGAGGGGTGAGGTGAGGCAGGGGTGCGGAGACGCGGGGGGAGCTGCCAGGGAAGGGCGGGGAGAGGCAGCTCTTTTAGGATCAAAGCGAATTTATTTGGGCCGCCTTTCACACAGAGCAGTTAACGAGCACCCGGCCGGAGAGGTGTTGAGAGGTTACATCAGTTACTCCCCCTTCCCCTTCCCGTGCCGCTCCCCTCTCCTCCGCAGCCCACCCACCCATAGCCGCCCCACACTGCTATACTCTGCCCCTTCCCCACCCCTTTCCATGGCCGCGTCCGATCACAGGGAGCAGTGATTCCCTCCAACACGGTCGTTGGAACGGCAGACGGATGAGGCGAGCGCACATCGTAGCGACCCTAGACGCCCCTTCGTGATCAGGCGTGTTTGTTTTTCCGCGCCCGCAAATAGAGGGCTCTAGACGCTCTAGCGCCGCTCTAGCGCTGCTCAAGCCGTCCCAAGTGCGTTCTCCCGCCCGACGCGATAGCGTCCGTGTTTACTCCCCGACATTTTATACCGCGGCAGTAAATCTGGCCCTGTTGGCCGCGGCGGTCACCGTCTGCCTGCCTCTCGTGGACCGGGACGCGCCACCGATGAGGCCACCGAGGAGGCCGCCGAGGAGGCCGTCGAGGTCGTCCTTACTTACCGTAGAGCCGCAGCGGCGTTGGGGCGAGGAGGCTCAGGGTGGGCACCGTCGTCGGCCCCGGGTAGGCGACGAGGTCGAGGTCCCTGGAACGGCCCGTCGACAGGTCGTCGGCTCTGCTCGGCCCTGCGAACAGAGTGGATCCGCAATGAAAATCTCCGCGCCCTCCTGTCTATATTTTGAAATTACGAAGACACCCGAAAACATATATCGCTGCGCGTGGCTGAAAACCTCCCTGTACGCGCAGAACGGCGCCTGGCGTGTAGGCAACCCGGCCGCATGCGTGTGGGCGGGTTGCCTCTACGCCAGGCGTCGTGATGCGCCATAGACGACGAAAATGGACTCGCCTCTTCACCTATAGGACCTCTCCGATCTCCCATCACCTTACCATCTCCTATGATCCTCGGGGTGCTCATCTTGAACCCTAAAATAAACTGGTTTCGAGTGATGTGAGAAAGGAGGGCGCATTGATACAAAAGAAACGCTGTCATTAGGGGCGGCGATACTGCGGCTGCTGCAGTCACGTGCAGGAGTCAAAAAAATTGCTTTTAAAAGGTATCAAAGGTTCTCCACGCTTCACTACAGAACTACTCTATACCAAACACGAATACAAAAGCAGCTCACCAACCATATTTTCGCTGAGCGAAGCTCAGTCCAAGTTGCTGAGGGGTCAGGCGTTGTCTCGGTCGTGAGTCTGTCTGTCTGTCCGTGTGTACGTTCGTCTTTTTCTCGAAAACGGCTGTACCGATGACGTAATGCGAGTTTGCCTAAACATCTATAATTTAAGGGAGACCCAGTCTCCCCTTTTCGTTCGCAACGGACTAATTTGAAATATTTGGCCCCCTTTTCCCCGGAGGGCGCTTCAGATGTTGTTGTTTCGGTGGTGGCTACACTGAGTGGAAAAGAGCGCGAACACGCAAATGGCTCCTTGCGCCCACTTCGTGACTTTCTGATTTTCTCACACGTGATCATAATGTCAGATGGTCAAACCGAGTGTGAAATTAGTAGTTTTAGAGTTGCGGAACTCGACTTAAAAAGTTTCGCCGGTGTCCGGTGAAAAGGAACGAAAGTGATATTTTGAATGGTTTACGTATTTACGTACGTAAGTTGGAGAGGAGGTGGGGGTTCGGGGTTCGGGAGAAATGTGCAAAGGTAACTATTGTTTCGGGGTCATCATGACAAATGAAAACGAAAAAATTTTATGCTCCAAGACGATTGGAATCGAAATAGCAGAGTTATGTTCAAATGTTCAATAAAGTGTTCAATCGCCCCTAGCGGCCAAACGGTGCGTCGGAGGTCAATTCTGACGGCAGTTTTCGTCCGTAACCCGAAGGGTTAAAGGGTTGTATCTCGCCGAGACGAACAAAATGAACCCCTCGAACGTTCAATTTGGACCAATTTGGCCATGGCAATCCGCCCATCGTTATTTGAGGGCTAATAACTTCTCCATTTCGACTCTGATCGGCCTTGAGCATAAGACACTTCCTTTTTCATTTTGAAAAAAGAATCCAAATCTTGTGTTACACTTTTAATTTTTTAACCTCTAAAAAAATCCTAATTTTCAATTTTTGTATTTTAACAAAATGTAATGGTGTGTACTTGTAGAATGATAGGAAGTCACCTAATGTTTCATTATAATGACATGTCATTCCGATTATTCAACCCACAACTTATTTTCACAATAGCCATGGACTTGCAAGGGACCGAACAATATTATAGCCAATATCGTTCACTCAGGGTAGGATATGCCCATCGAAATCAGAACAAGGTATATAATTTTCTTAAATTGACTAGGTTTGTCTGGAGTCACATTATGTTAAATTATATCCAATAAAATGATGGGAGCATTTA